CCGGATAAAAGGCGGTGGGCAGGGATTTGGAATGGACATGAGCAACTCGTCTTGAAGAATCAGAGGTAAGTAACCGTTCTTTCTTCGAGTGATTGCTCATGTGCATTCCAATATAGTTGACTCCAAAGCAGGACCCAACTAGGTGGAGGGCCGGATGTTGAAACCAAGGAGAAGTTAAAACGTGGACCGAGGACCATATGGCAGCCCTACAGATGTCCAGGATGGGAACCTGCACTGCGAAAGCGGTGGAAGCTGCCACAGCTCTCATGGAGTGTGCTCTGAGGGTCAGGGCTGAAATGTCTGCTATGGAGTAGCACTCCCTGATACAGGCGGTTATCCATGAGGTGATCCACTGAGTGGATACAGGTTGGCATCTCATGCGTTCTGTGATAGCTACAAAAAGTTGTGGTGATTTTCGGAACGGTTTGGTCCTGTAGGGATAAACTGAGGCAGTCCATGGTATCTTGCTAAGAACTGAGAACTCAAATCCTAATTATTAAGGCCAGGCCCGAGAAGCACGCAGACAGTAGCTACCATGACCCTGGTTCCCCTGGCGACCACATTCCAAAGGGGCCTCACTCTGATAAGGCCTGGCTGATGCCAGCCAGGCTGCGTGGTTTCTCTCACTGACTCCTGTAACTTCAGATAAATCAGCTTGAATCCCAAAGACTATGCCAACACAAGGAGGTAGTCATCTCGCAGTAGCCATATCACACTCACAGCAAAACAAGTTCCCATCAACATATCCATTTTGTTTATGTTGGTTTATTTAGCTTGTTAGGAATACCTGTCCACCTGGAAATGAAAAGCAACAAAACAAACAAACTGTTTTGTCACAGTGCTATTACAATAAATGAGTGCACGGGAGTACAGGGGAAATAGTTGCTGCAGCTCAAATATAATCCTTAGGGAATGTTTCTATTTGCTTTCAGACACAGCTAAAATGGAATGTCACCATACATAAATAGGGTAAGCCGATTAGCGCCTTAACCATTGTATTTTAAAATAACTAACTCTTGTAGACAACATTTCTGTTTGGTCAAATAAGCCTAAAGTATATTAATCTCTTAACAAAGGGAAGTCAAGAGTTCTTGGCACTCCTCCTGTATCCAGAATTCACTAGTAAGAGGTTAAGTCTGCAAAATCATGGTGGTTCTTAACATTTTTTTATTGACCTACACAGCAGGTGATTTCACATTAGTGGCTGCTACACATCATGGCACTAAGTTGCTGCCATTTAGAGTTTATGTTTTATGTAGACTTACTAGAGGGCTACATAGTTTTACTGCCTTTCTTACACATGTGCTCTGGAGCAAGTAACTGACTTGCTTAACTCCTCATTAGTCTACAAGTTCAACAGCAGTGTGACTCATTGTCAAAAGAATTTCTATTATGGTTCCACATTACCACTACATTAATTTAAGTAGAAAAAAATATCAGAAGCTTGTTAAACATGTTTAAATCTTTCTTGAAAAGTAGCTCTTGGCTTAAATTTCTCATGCTTTTTCTCTATGCAAAATTGAGTTTCTAGAAAGTTCAATGAAAACCCACCCATATGGTTGTTTCTGATACGAGGGATGAATCACTTTTTAAAATGCTTCCATTTGCACTCTCTTCACTGTCTCTTAACCCTCCATCCTGGATGGAAGAATGTAGAAACTGAAGGGAATTTTGCATGCTCCGGCTCTCTATATGGTTATTACTGCATAGTGTTTTGACACTATATTATTTCCCTCAACCATAACCAAACATTCTATGAACTATAAAACGTCAGATATAGGCAAGTATAGATTTGAATATGCACCCCACAGATTTAAAAAAAAAAAATGCAAATATATGGTTTTAGTATAATACTGTTATTTGACCTAGCCCCAGCAACAGCAGTTCCTCCCCAGTGGCCCAGCCCCCCAGGGTGTGAAGCAGGAGCAGCTCATGCTCAGAGTCGACAGCGCCAAAGCAAGTGGTTAAAGACGGAGGTGAAGGGGTCATGACAATGCAGATTATGTGATGTCATTCTGTTGTCCCGCAGGAAAAAGTTAGAGAGCAAAAATTACATTTATGTACTAAGTTCAAATCTTAAGCAAACAAGTCAGGAAATCTAGTTAATGTTCCCAAAGTTTTTTGTAACTGTGTTGGGTACTGTGCATATATAGTAAGGCATTAAAATTAACCCCAGCTTCCATAATACAACACATTCCCTGTGCCTCAGTATCTCCATTCAAATGGGGATGATATGGACCTATGTAAGTTGTTTTGAGACCTTCAAATGAAAAAGTGCAATAAAAGCTTGATAATGTATATCTAAGACCAGAATTACAATTGCTGAATTACAAGTACAATGAAAAAATTTCAACTTTTGTTCATAAATTCTCAAAATATAACAATTTTTGGTTATGATAAACACTCAACTGAAGGAACATTCAAGGACAATAAGGCCATTGAAGATAAACCAAATGAATTATTTAGATCAGTCATCATGGCTGAGGATGAGAGGAAAATTCCCAAATCTGAACCATTCTTTTTAGGGGATAAATCTAAGGAACTGTCTCAGCTCGAGATGCATCAGACAAGAGTTCAGATCAAACTGATACAGTAAACAGTAATACCAGGACCAGATGGATTTCACCAAACAGTTTTAAAGGAACTCAAATGAGAAACTGCAGAACTACTAACTGTAGTTTGCAACCTATCATTTAAATGAGCTTCTTTACCGAATAACTTATGGACAGTTAAGGAAATGCCAAGTTTTTTAAATGACTCCAGAGGTGATCCTAGCAATTACAGGCTGGCAAGCCTGACCTCAATACCAGGCAGATTGCAACTACAGTAAAGAATAAAATTGCCAGACATGTATATGAATATAATCTGTTGGGGAAGAGTCAACATCATTTTTGTTAAGGGAAATCATGTCTCAAATTACTATAATTTTTTGAGGGGATCCACAAGTATGAGGACAAGGGGGATCCAATGGATATAGTGTACAACAGACTTCCGATAATCCAGCACCTTGGGACTTCGGTGGTGCCAGGTTATCGGATATGCCGGACTATCGGGAGGTACTCCGGCGGGGAACGAAGAGTCAACATCATTTTTGTTAAGGGAAATCATGTCTCAAATTACTATAATTTTTTGAGGGGATCCACAAGTATGAGGACAAGGGGGATCCAATGGATATAGTGTACAACAGACTTCCGATAATCCAGCACCTTGGGACTTCGGTGGTGCCAGGTTATCGGATATGCCGGACTATCGGGAGGTACTCCGGCGGGGAACGGAACGGCAAGGGGCGAATCCTCCACCATTTTGCAGGAAGGCAGGGGAAGCCCCATGCCACCGCCAAGAGTTTCCAGGAGAGGAGCGGGTTCCCCATCTCCCAGACTGCAGTAGTTATTGCCAAGCAGGGGGGTGAGGCACAGCGCTGCGGGACCAATCCAGCAGCACCCCAGCTGCTCTGCTCTGCAGATTCCCCAAGTCCGCCACTCATCAGTTTCAGCAGCGGCAGCCACGAGGAAG